TTGTTACCTCATGAGAGCTTGATGGTGCCTCAAAGTAGTGACCTTTTTTATTCTGTAGAGAGGCATGGTCCATGGCGACGTTTTATGCGCATAGTTTAAAAACAGCAAGAATTATCAGACTCACTAAATTGGCACTAAACACTCAGTTCTTTCAAGACGGATTAAAGCTCATAGCTTGTACCGATGAAGTATGTGTAATCATGAAGAGGCATAATTCGTCAGATGCCTGCTATTACACTCGTAGACAAATTCATTACCCGTCTCAACCAAGTTCGTCTCATAGTTGACTGGGCACTAGGTAGCTCGTCTTCAGGTATAACCTGTCTTGTGCCCGTCTTTCTACCGAGACACCTAATTCACGCATGCATGGGAGGCGCGGTGGCCTCATGGTTAGTGCGCTCGCCTCTGGATCGAGCGGTCTGGGTTCGAGCGCTGGTCGGGGACATTGTGTTGTGTTCTTGGGCACGACACTACTCTGACAGTGCCTCTCTCCACCCAGGTGTACAAAGGGTACTGGCGAATTCAACACTGGGGTAACCCTGCGATGGACTAGCGTCCCATCCAAGGAGGAATAGAAATACTCCTAGTCTCTTCATGCTACAGAAACCGGAGATAAGCACCGGCCTGATAGACCACTAAGCTCGTATGCAGACTTTACCTTTATCATAATCAGACGCACGACAAGCCACATGGATTATGTTTCTCTAGTCTAAAAACCCTAATTATTACTCAGTTGATGAATTCATTTCTTCTCGTCACTTGTCTGCTTTTAATTTTTTTTATATTGTAAGGAGAAATTAGATACTTATCACGCAAATAAAGCAGAGCCAACATATCCACCCACAGCTGTCTTATTTCATCAGAGGTCACCAATAAATGACTCTTTGAACAACTTCAAGGCTTCTCTTCCTAAGAATTCGTTCTTCCTCATAACAAATGGACAAAAGCATTTCCGAGATCTTTGCCAACATAATTTTGAAATTGCTAAAATTGTTTGCCATTCTGCACTGAAACGTTCTTCGCCTTTAATCCTTTGAGTTCCACAACCATATATCTATTTCACACATTAAAACCCACAGATAATGTGGTATTTACAATTTTGTATCTACCGATTCGCGGCGAACCGTGTTAAAGACCCTTACGTATTTTTTTTTAAAACAAAAATTCGTCACAATAAATTCTTAAAATAAATTCCCCGAGTGACCGACCAAAATGTGACATTGGCCATTTGCTTTCGTTAAAATTCTTGATACAGTTTCCTTTACTTAAATTAAATTTAAAAATCGAAGAAAGGATAAATACGCCATAGAGTAAATTTCTCGATTCATTTTGGAAGAAAAGCTAACCTGTGCTGACTCAGGAAATTAAATGGAGGCGAGGGTTATTAAGGTACCTTGAAAATGAAGTCGACGTGAAGAACTGGTCAATATTAGGGAGTTAAAGTAACTACAACGGCGACGCCGAGGACAACGTCAATTAAAAAATCAATTTAAATGTTACATACGAATCTTGCGATACTCTAAAGTCATTTACCTTGTTTATCACTATCAAAACTATCACGAAACTGAATCTGGAACACAGCGATAAATTTGAAATAGAAA